GGCCGGGTTGTTGCTGCTGGTGCGCGTGCCAGGCTGTGTAGGGCTTCGCAGCCATGGGGACAAGGGCGCTGCTGGCCAGCGCCGCGGGGATGCGGGCAGGCCTGCGCTGCGGGAGCTGGGCATGCGGCACCTGATGGCAGCTGTAAGAGACGCCGAGCACCCCTTACAGCTGCCATCAGGCGCCCGCAATTGGTTGGCACCCTGGACAGCTGCCCGGCTCACCCACCCTTCAGTCCGGCCCTGCCTCCAGGAACTCAGCTAGTTCTTTTCCGAGCCTTATTACACTTTTGCTGGCAACAAGTTCCACAAGGTGACTGTGCGCTGCGTGAAGAAACACTCCCTTTGGTTTTCAACCTGCGGCCTTCTCATTTCACCGGGGGGCCGTGGTGCTTGTGTAATGTTAAGGGGTAAAGAACACTTCCTTCGTCCCTTTTGTCCACACCCGTCACAATTCTACAGGCCTCTCTCATGTTCCTCTTCAGTCATTTCTTTTCTAAACAGAACAGTCCCGGTTTTTTTAATCTCTCCTTGGGTGGCAGCTGTTCCATCCTCCTAATCACGTTGCCCTTCTCTGGACCTTTTCTAATAGATGTTTTTGAGCTGGGATGACCACCCATGCCCGCTGTATCCCAGGTGTAGGCCCCATCATGGATTTACACAGCGGCCTTGTGATATTTTCTGTCTCATTAGCGATCCCCTTCTCGATGGTCCTATCATTTTGTTAGCTTTTTTGACTGCGGCTGCACATTGAGCAGATGTTTGCTGAGAACTACTGACAAGGACTGACAGATTTTTCTTGAGTGGTAATTTAGACCCCATTAAGGGATGTTAAATATTGGTTAATTGAACAGTTGATTAACCTCATGAATTCTTATCGGTTACTCGACTATTCTATAGTGCGCGAGGGTGGGGCCGGCAGCCAGAGCGCTCTGACTCCGTCCCTAAGGTTCCCCCTGCCACTCCGCGCTGCTGCCTCTAATACAGAGGCAGCAGCATGGGGTGGCAGCAGCCCCTGTCTAGAGTGGGGGCTGAGTTCCTGGACCCGGCCCGAGTTGGAACGGAGCCAGGCTGCCTGCCTACCTGGCTCCTAATACACTTTAAATGCAGAGCCGCAACAGGGATAGGTTCTGGACCCTACCCAAGCCAGGACTGAGCCGGGCTGCAGGCCAGCCTGCTAAAAAATTTACTGGCAAGGGGGGGAGGGGCCACGAAAATGTGTGTAGTCTATAGCATTAACTGATAAGCTTTTGCTTATCAGTTAATTGGCTAATCAGCTACATTCTTACATCTCTAGACCTCTTTGTTTTGTATGTACAATTCGGATGATGTCTTCCAATGTGCATTCATTGGAACTGATCAGCACTGAATTTCATCTGCCATCTTCTTGCCAAATCACCCAGTTCTGTGAGCTCCCTTTGTAACTCTTCACAGTCTGCTTGGGACTTAATTATCTTGAACTAGATTCACCTGGCATTGCTCGGGTCCTTCCCGGCAAGGGGTTGAGAGGTATGGGGGGGCTCAGGGCTGGGGGCACCCAGTGCCGGCTGCTCCCCTGTGGTCATTGCGAATTAGAACTGTTCTCTGGGCTTGCTGCCCTCCTGTGGTCATTCGGGAATAACTGTCCCAGCTCTCAAACCCCTCCCTTTCTGTTTGAAGAGAAACAGTCCCATTCCAGGCACATCCCATTGTCCTGGCACAACCGAACCCCGACTTTGCTTTCAGTTAGGATAAGAGGAGGAGCATTTGGTGATCCTAGCTCTTACCGTGGAGGAGGAGTTCTTGAGCAAACAGACTCACAGAGGGACGGACACACAGACAGACACACAAACGCTCTCAAATATAGAGCAGATAATTGTGTGTCAATCCGGAAACTTTGCCGCCTCCCTGTTCACCCCCTTTTCCACCTCATTTATGAATATGTGGAAGAGCACAGACCTCTGGGGGACCCCGATTTACCTCGCTCCACTGTGAAAACTTGACCATTTATTCTTATCCTTAGTTTCCTAGTATTTAATCAGTTACTGCTCTGTGACAGGAGCTTCACTCTTATCCCATGGCAGCTCATCTTGCTTAAAGGGGACATTGGCAAAAACTTTCTGAAAATCGAACTGCACTATATCCACTGGATCAACACATTTCTAGATCTCCCCCCCGCAAAGAATTCTCATAGATTGGGGGGGGAGCATGCTTCCCCCAACAGGAGCCCTGTTGACTCTTGGTCCTGCCATGAGGGCAGGGGACTGGACTCGATGACCTCTCAAGGTCCCTACCAGATCTATGACATAGGTATATATCTCCATATATTTTCCCCCTACAAAAGCTGTTCACCCGTGTCTCGGATCATTCTGGTCTTTATTACGGTTGTGAAGTTAGACGTACCTGCCTGTAATTGCCAGGATCGCCTCCGGAGCCTTTTTTGGAAAATCAGCATCCCATGAGCTGTCATTTGGTCCAGTGGTTGATTTCAGCGATGGCTCCCGGACTCCGGTTTGTAGTTCTGAGGTGGCTGGGCCACAGAGACGGAGGGACAAAGCTCTGCAATCATACCAACCAGGAGGTGGGGCTCCTGCGAGTACGGATTAACGCTGACCTGAGCTGCAAAGAACCATTTCAAGAGAGATCGGCAGAGCCGCCGGGGCAGAGTCGAGTTGACCTCAGAGAAAATATTTTTATTAAAAAGTTCCCAACAGAAAATTGTAAAAAGTGTCGGGGGGGACGGGGGGACACCACACCCTGGAAAAAGTCAACTTTAGAAAAGCCACCTGTCCTGGTGGAGAATCCCCAGACGCTGCACAGCTTAGGGCTGTTCACGTCCCCACCGCCTGACCAGCCGAGGGAACAGCTGACCTCAGCATAGAAACATTTCTGTAGTATCTTCCTAGTTGCGGGGAGGGTGTCAGAGGAAAATCCCATTCACCCACTACTGGCACCAGCTGAGCCAAGCCAGGCAGCATAGGCGGCAAGTATAACAGGCAGGGGAAGACAAGGCCTTCCCAAACAGCCAGGCATGGCCCCACCCACAATGCCTCTGCTTCCCAGTGGGAGCCGTGTTGAAGCAATAGGGGTTCTGGGGGCCGAGCGTTGCTGCCCTCGGGCGTCAGCCTCACGGAGGCTGCAGATCCTGGGGCAGGCCACTCTCCCCGTGCTCGAGGGCCAGAGAGACTCGGGCAGCACGCCACCTGCCCAGCACCCCCATGATGCTCCAGGGCCGGGGAGGCG